ATATGAAATTTGAAAGAATTAAAAATTGAAAAATATAATAATTTTATAAATTAAAAAAACGACCGACGAACGACAAATGACGAACGGCGAATGACGAAAAGAGAAAGACGAAAAATCGAAAATTATAAAAATTCGAAAAATATAATAACTCGAAAAATATAAACAAACGATGAACGACGAAGGACGACTGACGAATGACGAAGGTCAAACGAGGAACCACGAAAGACGACAGACGTAAGACTAAAGACGAACGACAAAAGACCAGAAACAAAAAAAGTGGAAAAAACAAAAAATGTAAAAATTTGAACAAACGAAAAATATATAAATTCGACAAAAATATAATAATTCGAAAAATATAAAAATTCAAAAATATACAAATTTGAATAATATAATAATTCAAAAATGTAAGGGTTCTAAAAAATATGAATATTCGAATAATGTAAAAATGCAAAAAATATAAAAGTTCTAAAAAATATAAAAAATTTAAAAATATTAGATTTCAAAAAAATTAAAATTCGAAAAAAATAAAAATTCAAAAATTTAACCATCCAAAAATATAAAAAAAACATGCGTAAAACTTAGTAGCCAGTTATTTCGCTGGTTAACTAACAACGCATGAAGGTCAGATTTGTAGACATCCTGCTAGTGACCTGCTGTCACAAAATGATATTTTTTAAATTACATCGGTAGGCAACTGCCGAGCGTGACTACCTTGGAATATGAAATTAAAAAATGGCCGTTAATAATTAATAAAATTTAATTTTATTTAAATTTAATGAAATTCTCTGCTTTCCAGTTAAAAGGAAGAATTAAAGTAACCGATTTGCGACTTGAAAATGCATCGAAATTTGACATTAGCGTTAAGCTTAGCAGCCAGTTAATTCGCTGGTTATCCAACAACGAACGACGGTCAAATACGCACACAGCCATCTAGTGTTCTACTTTCACAAAAATATATTTTTTTAGATTCAAAATATGGGTAGGCAACGGACAAGGCGGAAAATGATATTCAAATTGGCCGTCAATAATTATAGAAATTTAATTTTATTAAAATATATGTTTAATTACTACATGTATTGATTCAAATTTCAAAATAAATGTAATGAAATTTCCTGATTATTAGTTTAAAGGAATAAGAAAAGCACCTGCTAGTGTTCTACTTTAACAAAATGTGATTTTTTAAAATATGGGTAGGCAACGGCCGTGTGTGTGGCCTTTTTTGAATTTCATATTCCAGTGTATGTAGCATATATATATATATATATATATATAAAACTCGCAACATTTCTCTATTTCTGTCGCAACAGTGTACTCGCAACACTGGAGAAATGGTGCGAGTATCAGACGCTTTAGCGCAATCTGTGGAATGACAAGAGTGGCAGTTGTCGATGACTGTTAAGTGCAAAACATTGATGTAATAATATCTATTATTCTGTTCAAAAGTATTGTTTTTTAAAACATCGTTGATTTTTTTGCCAGATGTCTTGTGTGATTTACAGATATCGTCTCTGAAACCGTCGCTTACATCAAGGCTGCGGCTTAGTGCATCAAAGCATCAACTGATGTACTGCAGCTGCAGTGCCTCTGACTAAGTGGTTGTGGGGCTCGAGGCACGTCGTTAGCAGGATTGTGGACAGTAGCTGCATAGCTAGTTCAAATTTAGCCGCAGACTGAAAAAGAGTTCTGACGGCCAGCTGTTATGATCAGTAGTTTTCCGTGGTTTCTCCGATAACACCAGACGGCTGTCCGAGTAGTCCCCTAACTAACGGGTCGCGGACCGCTCGCCGATCTTTTCTTTCTCGTTGTCAAATCCTCGCCCCTTTTCTTACACACACATACTTACGAGTGCACTTGTACGCCCTACACTTCCACTCCAGTTCGGTGATTAGAACTTGACCGGATGGGGCTGTGCCCAGCTGGAAGAGATACCTGTTGGGATAATCCCGTAAGCCGACATGAATTTCGGCGGCGATCTTACCACCCAGCGGGGGAAGAGAGCTGTCATCTCACGTGACAAAAAAGCACCATACTGACGGGACTAATAACCTTACCTGTGCACTCGCCCGGAAACAACATTCAATTCATCAACAGCATATTTTCAGAGACATAAAATGCCATCACGCAATTGGATGATGCTGGTACTCAATCGGTGGAGGCATTTGGTACTGAACAAAATGTGTACAGTGTGTGAGTCGTGTATTTTGTTCACCGTGCATTCATTGAGTACAATATGTTTAATTCTTAAAAGTTTCATTTTCTTTCAAATGAACGGATTACACGTTACACGAATTACACCTTAATCCTTGTCTGAGCATGTAAATGCTCCATACTTTTTCCCATTAAGAACATTCCCCAAATTCTTATTACTATTCGAAGAACAAACGTTTCGTTTTCATTTGCACTCAGAATTCAACTTGCATATGGATTACTGTAGAAATACCAGAATTTAAGAAAACGTTCACATAATTTATTTCTTCCCATAGTACGCCACACTGTTTTTGGTTTTGACGTTAAACAAAACATATAAATAAAGAAAACAAAGCCTAATAATTGTTTTATGTCGATGTTCAAAACCAGACATCGTGTGTGTTAGCCAAACATGCTATACATTTCCAAGTTCAGTTTAATTTTGATAACGCCTCATTTGCGGATATTAGATAAAGAATAATATTTAAAAATGGGAATCAGTAAGGATTTTTTTTATATTTAAAACTAGTACTATAGCATGCAACCAGAAGACTCAGCAGTATTTATGTTAATATTATCCACAAATATTATTTATGTTTTTTCTTTCTTTCATTATACTGTCAACGGTTATGTTCTTGCATTTTCATTATTCTAATATGATGTATTTTTTTTTCTTTATACAAATCGTATCATCCTTTATTTGCTTAAGTGATTTAATATTTAAATCAAATACTATTATGTTCATATTTGCCATGTTGGCAACATTGGATCACAACTACAACAGAAGTAAACACAGAACTTGCGTAATGATAGAGAGTTGAGCCTAATTATTCATAGTGTGGGATTTTGCCACGTGGAGCATGGGACACCACAAGGATGTAGATTTAGATTTAGATTTAGATTTAGATTTAGATTTAGATTTAGATTTAGATTTAGATTTATTGAGTCAAAAAACAGTAAAAACTGTATCTGACGTATGGGGTAAAGATTATCTGCGCACGTTTTAAGTTCCAGAATACTTTTCCGTCATTTTAACTATAAATGGTTGAAAGATGAGTAAAAGTTCAACATAAATAAAAATATATTTTCAATATAAATATTAAAAATCGGAAGATTAGCAATATTTGAAAAATAGTCATTTTCGATTCCGAGTTACATAAAACTTATTTGCATAGGTACACGAATTGAAAGTATGATTTTTCTGCATTGCTAACAAAATAGCAACTCGCCCTTACCTCCACTCTTACTATTACAAGCAAAAGGATAATTCAACAAAACGTGCGCATAGTGAAGTTACATTTACAAACAGAAGGAAAACAAGGGGCTTAGTCCAGAAGCAAAACTCAGCATTTGCTGAATGGATCAGGGAAACTGGACAAAAACCTGATCGACATGGGGTCATTGACCCGGAAGCTGAAGTACATTATTTGTTACAAACACATTAAATCTTTAAAAAACTATACAATACAAATGTGAAGTAGTTCATTATATATCACTGTTTTGTTAAAATAAATATTATTTTTCTTTTTGACTATCAGAGATGTAGAGTGTGCTTAGTTTAAATCCTTACAGGTGAGCCTGTTCAAATGTTAACACTAGTAACCTATAGTCGTACATTACTTCTTTATATTATGTAAAAACGATAAATATTGTAGCCCTGATCAAGACCAAATATATGGCCGAAACATCAGAAATGTATTTTTTTGTATTGACCTAAACCCAAGAACACACGCCATATAAAACGGTTGTGTTACACTGCTGAGCTTTACTTTCCTAAATCGATTGCTAACAAAGCTCTTAGTTGGTCTGAAACACATGGAACTTTTTACGAAATACAACGCCCGTTAGAAATAAAAGTTAAGAAAAACACACATAATACAATAATTTATATTATCTCTTTTTCTCTCTCATAAAATCAGCTATATGTTGCTGTTGCTGCTGCCTTGCGTTGGCCAGTTCAATATTCAGCTCCCTAATATAATTATAATCCCATTTGTCTCCCTGCGTTACCTAATTATTACTCTTACTATTTATTTCAATTTCGTGGAATTGCTAGCTATAATTTTATCAAGGATTTGGGCGTTTCCATACTTACATTATTTTAGGGTATTCTCGTCTTTCTTCTCGTGGGCTAGAAAACACCGCTCATACGAGTATTCATAAGGTGATAATTTAAATTTATTAGGAAATATTCTGTATTTATTCCATAAACTAATCGGAAAGAGGAAAGATCGTGGAGGGGAAGCTGCGGTGCTAGGTCCATCGCTTAGCGGTCCACGCTCTTCTGCCAGCAAATCTAGCAAGTGAAGACGTGCAGCTTCCTTGAAGGTTTTCTCATTTAGAGGCGACAATTGGGTAATCCACGCTTCTTAGATTTTGTCCAGTGCACGTGCGTGTCTAGTCATGAGGAGAACATCCGCTATGCTTCGTCAGCTGTAAGTTTTAAATAAAGTTGATCTTTGCAAAATTAATATCATAAATAAGTAGCACAAAATGTAATGAATGGTTTCGTTCAATACATTTCTATATACATATATAAATTATGTTCTATATTTAAACTGCAGAGATGTGCTTTATAATGGAAAGGAGTGTGTGACAAAGAACGTATTATACCATGAAAACTCGAAACACATTTTAAAAAATGTCCGTGAAGCTATTTACTAAAACGTTTAATGCTCAATTACAATATTCGTACAATCTATAGTACGATTCCCGATGTTAACAACAATATTCAATCACTTTCAATCGGTTGGGAATGGCGGCAGTTCCATTGGTCTTTCGGGCAGCAATACAACCGATTTAAGCTCTTTTTATTGTGCTTGTGAAAATGATACTTCACCTGAAATGAATAGTGAACATGTTTTTCAACTCAATTTCTTGTAGCATTTATATTTATTTTTATATCATTATAATTAACGTATTTCAGAATCTGCTATATGTTTACTGAATCTTTAATTAGCGTGAATGTAATGATGGAAAACTATAATTCTATAATTGCGTGGAACTCGTACGAAGAGCTTACATTACGGCTGGGCAGTAATGGTGTTTTTCTACTACTACTCCAGAATGTATACATTTCTGCACGTTGTGAGATGCAGTAATGGTGACGATTCCACAAGACGTTCGAAATTCCAACGTGGCCTCTACGTCACTCGTGTTGTAAATATCAACTCGCGAATATTAGCTATCATTCTACGCTCGTTGTATATACTACACAGTCCACTTGCGCGTGTCTGCGCAGCCACTTGGCGCAGCCCAGCGCGCGTTCTGCGCCAGCCTCTGCTGAGCTGCGCGCGCGCGCGTCGACCGCGCCTGCGCAGGCGCTCGCCCGCCCCGTGGCCGCGCCACAGCTCTGCGCAGAAGGCCAGCGCAGACACGCACGCGCCTGCGCACAGCAGCTGCAGGTGGCCGACGACGTCTTCCGGCGTCAGGACCTTCGTTGCGTTGGCGCTCGCTTGCGCTTTGGCCTCCCTCGCGAGCCCCAGGCGGACGCGAATGCCGTGGGACGAGTTGTAATCGGCCTTCCACTTGCGAACTAGGCCCGTCTCTTCCATTCGCAATATTAACATTTTCACAGGGTCAGACCACGGCCAATTGCTGCAAAGGAGAAATACCGAAGTCACGCTAGGTGGACTAAAACATAGGAAACACTTTTTAACAAAACAATAACATTGAAACGCATCTTCCTCACATAAGAAAATACATTCTTTGAAATACAACAAGACCACAAAATTGATAATACACTGATCTGTGTTAAGAAAAATTAAAATAGTTGTGCTACAACAGCACATTCTCTCTCGCAAAAGTAATTGTTTATTAATATTAAATAACCGCAATTCAAGTACATATTATCACGTTACAGCCATCACATCTAAAACGCACTCCCAATCATAGCGCTTTAGGCGTGAAAATTTAATTCATTTATAGGCACTACATCAACACATTCAGCAATTATATACTTCCTTCTATAAAGAACAAAATTATGCAGTTGCATTTAAAAATCGAAGATGATTAATTTGTTCAAAAACGAAAAATATTACAAACTTATTATTATTATTAAACTTTAAAACATATTACTTCCTCACGATTCCACATTGTTGAGAGAAAACTGCTCTTCGATATCGCGAGTTTAGAAGTTATGAGGGTGGCTCGTAGCTAGTGGAACACTATACACGTTGTCTACTGCAGTAATGAGACGGGATAATAGAAACGCTTTCTCTCATTTCTCTATGCAACATAATTTCCGGATCACTGGAAGCACGAAACATCTGCTACAGTTTAGCGCTGTGGAGTTCTGCAATACGTTCCTTGGTTTTATTTCACAGAAGTTCTGAAAACATGGTCTTTTGTAAATACTACGTAGAAGAATCTCCGGTAGAATATCCTTCACCTCTGGCACTATGTCGGTTCCGGGTATTAACAAAGTCATATTCTCATTAGCGAGATAATCGAAAGTGTTTATCTATGCTTCATATTCTAGATTTTTAATAAGAACAAACAGGCGACTCTGAAACAAAACAAATCACTATCTATAAACACTGATGAGTAAGGCCCAGATTTTTATGGCATAAAATCAACATTTATGACTTAAAACTTATATAAAGGTAACATTCAAAATGTGTTCTTAAATTCTGGTATCCCTACCCTAATCCATAGGCAAGTTGAATTCTGAGTGCAAATGAAAACGAAACGTTTGTCGTTCGAATAGTAATACGCATTTGGGGAAATTCTCTTAGGTGGGAAAAAGTATGGAGCATTTACATGATCAGACAAGGATTAAGGTATAATTCGTGTAACGTGTAATCAGTTCATTTAAAATAAAATGAAACTTTTAAGAATAATCTTAGAATTTCTTCGAGAAACGACGAAAAATGATTTTATGGCTTACTAATTCATTGCTGTGTGTTGCCAGACCTGAAAAAAAACCGTAACGGTATTGTTGATACCTTTGATTCTTTATGTCCGCGGGGCCTTTTGAATACTTTATGACCCACCTAAAACCAACACAACAAATACATTTTGTGTGATTATTAAAGTTAAGATACAAACAAATACAATAAATAAATGGAATAATGCTCAAATAAGTAAAATAACTGGTTATAAACCTTTTTTTGCATAATTGATATGAAAATTACCATTTTGGACTGTTCCCTTGAAATTATAATTGCCATCAGTCACTCATGTTTCACTATTATGTATCTCTTTTTTATACATATATTCTTCTTGTGTAGCACTACTACTAGTAGTAATAAGATGTATAAGGCACATAGGTTAACATCCTCGAAATGTTATTTTCGAATGTTATGAAATATTCTAAATACCTTTTCGCATTAGGGGCAAATAACCTAAAAGTACAGTTTCATCAACGCAATTCTTATTGTTATTTTCCTTATAATTCACAAATACACAATCATTTTCATGTATTTCTAGAGATTGGTGTAAGCCACTGTCCGAGTTTTTCGCTTTAGAGAGAGAGTGAGAGAGAGAGAGTGAGAGAAGTGGAGAGATAGCTGAGAGAGAGTAAAGAGAAGAGTACGAGAGAGAGAGTGAGAGAGAGTGAGAGAGAGGTGTGAGAGAGAGTGTGAGAGAGTGTGCAGAGAGAGTGTGAGAGAGAGTGTAGAGAGAGGCTGAGAGAGAGTGATGAAGAGAGAGTGTGAGAGAGAGTGTGGAGAAGGTGTGAGAGAGAGTGTGAGAGAGAGGAGTTGAGAAGAGATGTGAGAAGAGTGTGAGAGAGAGAGTGTGAGAGGAGGTGTGAGAGAGAAGTGTGATGAAGAGAGTGTGAGAGAGAGAGTGTGAGAGAGAGTGTGAGAGAGAGAGTGTGACGAGAGAAGTGTGAGAGAGCAGAGTGTGAGGAGAGAGTGTGAGAGACGAGAGTCTTGAGAGAGAGAGTGTGAGAGAAGAGAGAGTGTGAGAGAGAGAGCTGTGAGAGAGAGAGTGTGAGAGAAGAGCTGTGAGAGAAAGTGTGAGAGAGAGAGTGTGAGAGAGAGAGTGTGAGAGAGAGTGTTGAGAGAGAGAGTTGAGAGAGAGATGTGAGAGAGAGAGTGTGAAGAGAGTGTGAAGAGAGAGTGTGAGAAGAGAGTGTGAGAGAGAGGATGTGAGAGAGAGAGATGTGTGAAGAAAGAGGTGTGAGAGAGAGTGAGAGAGAGAGAGTGAGAGAGAGAGTGTGAGAGAGATATGAAAGACATTAGAAATAAATACAATATTTTAATAGAATAATGCAAACTAAATTATGTTTTTCTTATTCATGTGTGTTTTAATGATTTTATGAATGATGTCTAAAACCAATTCTGGACAAATAACAATGAAATACAACATATCAAGGTATGTACGTTAAGATATCTGAATATCAGATAAATTTTCATCACTCAGCGAATGTCACTAGGCATTCGCAGCATCATAGCGTTTAGTACGGACATTAAAATATCTGAATGTCATATGAATTGTCTTCACTCACATAATGCCACAATGCATTAGATGGTCATGGCGTTTAAAACACACGTTAAAATATCTTAATATTATTATATTTTCATTCAGTGAGTGCCACATGGCATTGGCTCGTCGCGGCGTTTAGATCACGCGTTAAAATATTTGAATCTCGTATGAATTTTCATCATTCAGTGAATACCACAAGGCATTCGCTGGTCGTAGCGTTCAAAACACACGTGAAAATATTACAGGAATTTTCTTCAATCACAGAATGTCGCAAGGCATGCGCAGAGTCCTAGTGTTTACTACAGCCATTAAAATATCTGATAAATGATTTTTTTTCACTCAGTGAATACGTGAAGGTATTCGCAGCGTCATAGTGTTTTAGAACAAACTGAGTATCAGTTGAATGTTTTCACTCAGCGAACGCAGTCACTGCTTGATTGGGTTTGCTTCCGCCTATCGCGTGCCTCCGCATGTGAACAGCGGAATTGTCTGATAGGCGAACGCGCTGCCGCAGATTTGGCAGGTGTATGGCCGTTCTCCCGTGTGGACGCGTTGTTGCACTGACGAGCGAAATCACTACCACACACGTCGCAAAGATAAGCTCGCTCTAGCGTATGTGACGGTTGAAACGGTTGTGACGGTTGAGGCCGTGTTTCTGTGTGAACGTCACTCCGCACCGAGCGCAGGCGTACGGCCGCTCTCCCGTGTGCTTGCGCATGTGTTTGGTGAGAGCGCACGACTGGACGAAGCTCATGGGACAAAACTCGCACCGGAACGGCCGCTCTCCCGTGTGGCGTCGCTTGTGAACGGTGAGGCTGCTGAAGTTGGCGTACTCTTGCCCGCATACGTCGCACGAGCACCGCTCGCTCTTGAGGGTGCGTCCGCGACCGGCGACGTTGGAGGACGCGGGGGACGTCCGGTGGCCCGCTCTGCTGGCGACCTTCTCTCCTGGCGTGTGCTGGAGCTCGGATTGCGACGGGGGAGTCCCGCTCGCACGTGATCTGCCTCTCTGTAGCCGCTTAGCTCTCCGATGCAGGCCGGTCTTCCGGGGTAGGTTCCCTGGGCCACAACAGATATACAATCACTCAATTCTTCTTTTTCTATTTGATTGTTTTTTACATTTTATTATGGTTTCCACCTTATTATTTTTTTCTCCTTTCTTTGTCTGTTGTAAGACTGGGGGTTCATACTTTTACACTTTATACCTTTTGAGATGTTGTTGTAATAATAAAAAAAAATAATATATTTAAATGTCTTTAATGTAAGCACGGAAAAATATACAACAGATAGACTATCGTTTTTTGTTTCTTCTATCATATACACAATGACTTAACAACGTAACCGATTACCACAGAACTCCTTTGGACTGCTCTGTGGATCACAAGATTGGTAGTATCTCAGCTAGGATGCATAACCTGTTCATTGTAGGAAACCGTTTTACATTATTCGAGAATGAATAATAATAATTCATCCTAACTTGTTCATAAATCTGTAAGTTGGTGAAATGTGGCTGTACCTCAAGAACACAGGCCCGAAGGCTTCGAATTTGTCTCTTGTGAGTCCCAGGCATTTTCACGATGCGCTTGCAGTGTGATTAACATCTTATGGAATACGAGGAATATATGAAAACAGAATTCCGAATCATTTACTCATCACGCACTTTACCTTCCTTCACAGAATGGAAGGGCTATCATCACTGTAACCTCCAGTTTCCATGCCACCAACGTCCTGATTTCGTTGCACGTGGAAAAATCAAGGGGCAGAAATAGATTGACTAGTCAAGCTACACAGAAACATAGAAGGGATATTCACAAAATGGCTACGGTGGAACAAGTCAGGCCGTGGTCGGTAGCTGGTCGTAGATTTCGCCTGTTTGTACGATGAGCCCTATTTGAGTCTAGTCTTGCGCTTAAACTACGGCCCTGGATATCAGTAGGTGGAACTTTTACCACCGATGGAGAATTTGTATGGCGCAAACTGTCGACAAACTTGTGCAAGATCAAATGCAAACAAAAGTGTGCTTTTAAAATTATTTTTAAAACGTTTCCTTTATTTTTAAATGTTTGATTAGGAATTTTTTACAAATGTATGGGTAATTTCGTATTATGTAAATGTGTTTGATAGTTGGTGCATTTTACATACTATATCTGATTTTACATATTTATTATATATTATGTTTTCATTACATATTAATGTATATATTTTGACGTTTCATACTAAATATTTTCGATCTCTAGTCATTATTGTTGACTATTTGGCCACTGTGGAACGTTTTCAAGTTCAAAAACAATACTATACAATACACATCACCATAGTGATGTAAGTAATTCAGCAATTGCCAAAGACCAACAACAACTGATTAAAATAAAGAAAGAAGCTCATAAATAACCATATTAATAATTATTACATAACCATATATAATACTGACACCGAACGAATCTGTAGTAACATAAGATGGCGACGAGCGCAAGATTTTGATTTCACTAGCGCCAGTACTACGAGTTAGAGCATTGCCAGTCGCATAATATTGAGTATCTATGATATTACTCTACTTACTTGAGCGTCGAGCAAGATTTCGTCCACCACAAGCACCTATTTCTTCATCTGTTTCTTCCGCTGTTTCTGTTTCTGCATCTGCTTCAATCGCGTCAGTTCCTAGCACATCAAAGTCTTCAATTAAATCGTCCAGCTCATCATACAAAGATTCGCTTTCCGGAACTAAAATTTCAGGCAGCAAACTTTCATTTTCCACAGCAATATCGCGCCTAGAAAATTCTTCATCACTTGATTGCCTCTGCTGCTGCTGCTGCTGTGACATCGATGATGATTCCATATTTCCTTCTGAGGATTCACTAGAACCTTAAAAGAAACAAAAAATGATTTAAAAGAAATCCTCGTATTTTTTAGACACTTTTGAAAGGAAAATTAAATATATATTTTTAAAGAGGCACTGTACCCCTGATTTAACGTACCAGCAATCCTCCCGTCCTAATATTGAAGTATTTTTTTCATTACATTTATGAATTAATTTGCTATTAAAGATCTGTATACAGATCTAATTTTGATAAATCTGTGTACAGATTTAATTTTTAAAAATTATCATTATTAACTTTTTAGTTTGCCGGAAGATGCCGAAAAAAATTAGATATTTTACACTTTTCGAAACGGCAGAAATTCCAATGCAAATGAGACTTCTACCATTCTTTTAAGAGTCTATTACTATCCAAAAACAAAGTTGAATTAAAAACATCGAAGCCTTTTTTGGGGGGAGAATGTGTTTGAAGGTTCATGTTAAGTACCCCCAAAAATATAATGGTTTCATACTCGCAGAACCTTGAGTTCCAGTAAATCGATTGTGAATATCAATTTTGGAGAAAATCGACTGAACGGTTAAGACACGAGCGTTGACCATAGACGGACAGACGGACGTTTTGTCGTCTATCGATTGATCGGTAACAATGACCCACAAAACGGAGTTTGACTACACAACGTGTTAGAGGAAATAATTTATTATATATACATTGAAACAAGATTTATCGACATTTTCGTGACCAGGGGCCGAAAATAAAAGTTTTTCTATCGAAAACTTGCCATTTGCCTGCGGGCGATTACAATACTTTCTGTCCTTGCGAAGTAAGGGAGAGAACGTAAAAATGAGATGTAGAATTTTTACAATATTCGAGATATTTTATCTTAAATAAAATGTTGTAAAAAACCAAATTTTAAAATAGGGCAAGTAGAATTTTTTGAAAAACCATTATTTCTCACGTTATTTCTGCTTAAAGTTAGTGGAATTTATAAAAAAAATATTTTCTCAAAAATTGCTCAAAATGTTTTTTTACAGAGAAAACAAAGGACGCTTAAAAGAATGGCGCAGATCTTATTTTAATTAAACTTTTTAAAATGTCGAAAATTGTGAGTTAGAAATAATGCGAGAAATTATGCAATGTTGTAGCACCACTAGTTACTTAGATATTCATTTACCTTCAGCAAAACATCAAAATGTTATTCACATACAAGTTACAATTTGCACATAATTTAACAATTTTTGGTGAAATTGTAAATAATACAAGCATTTTAGTGTATGTTCTTTGAAGCTGCTTTATATGCTACTCAATAAACCCGGAAGCAGTTTCTTTATCAATATCACTCGTAAATATTCTAGATGAGGGTTCATTACTTTGACTATTCCAGTCGTCAAAATAAAACCAATAGTGTTTAACTACACATACAATATGCCCCAACCACGGCGGTGTCTCCCAAAAAGTTAATCTCCTTTTCTACCCGATTTTTCTTGCCGCTTCTCCCTACTGTCCAATCATAAACTGCGACTTGATATCCAATACACAGCGTATGTGCTATAACATAACATCTTTGATTTTAAAATACGCTTTCAGTTATTTTCAATATTTGGCTCTTTTTTGGAACTGTTAGACATTGTTCAGGCGGCGAAATAGCCGAAGAAAAGTTGGGAGAGCATTTTTGATGGAAATGGCAATGGAACATCGCCTCTTCTATTACAGTTGTTTTTCTCAGACAAGAGTGTTCTGGAAAAGATATTATACACAATTGACAAGGATTGTTACTTGGAGAAAGAATTAACGAGTATTGAAGAAGTTGTCACAGTTACCTCTGTCCAAACGAAAACTGACTCTTTCCTTACGAAATTCCGTGGCCTTTAGCTACGTGTTTCTACTACATCTAGTGCCTGGCACACTCTGGGTCGAACCTTGAAGACGTTCAAAACGCTTTTACTCAGCTTTCTGCATTAGCTTGTCGTAACAAGGCGAGCCGGCGTCTGCGATAGAAAACTCATTTCGACAATGCCAATTTTTAGCGGGAATTTTTACCCATCCAGAAGCTGGTGCGATCTTTCGGTTACGCTCCGAACTAATAGAAAGAAGCTGATCATCGACTCCAAGGACTTTGCATGAAGAAATGAATGTTTGGTCGGCAGAGAAGAAATTGGCGCGGCTTTTTAGAGAAAATTAAGACTATCTTGGAGGCGCCAAGTTTAAAACGTATAATCCTTTCCTTTGAAACGCCTTCAAAGAACATCAAACGCCCTGTTAAAGAAGGCAAGGCGCCAAATTTGAAGTAATTTGGCCGGCAATGTGTCAACAGACATCAACACACACAAAAAGTCCTATTAAATTGCTTTGGACATCCTCAGATGAATCCCCTCAGAGTCGGGAATGTATTGACGATTTCCGAAGCACTGGCGGCATCACCTAATCACGCAAATTACCTAGCATTTCACTCCTCGTTTTGGAGAGCACAGGAAACATCGGGTCGCGCTTGAGCGCGCGCCTGGGGCGGTCGTGGCGCGGCGCGAAGGGCGCTGCGGGCGGCGGGGAGCGGCGCCCGTCCGAGGAGGCGGAGGCGGAGGCGGAGGCGGAGGAGGTCGCGTGCTCGGCGCCCGAGAAGCCCTCCAGGCGCAGCGGGTGCTGCCGCAGGTAGCCCTCGGGGCTGCCCCTGCAGCTGCTCGAGCTGCTCTGGAGCAAGCCCGATTCTTGCTTGTCCTCGGGCGGCCCGCGCTCCATTTTTCCGGCGGCGAGGAGGCTGAATGGTTTCGTTATCGCACTGAAACAAGCAAAGCGCACCTGAGAGAGTAGGCTTCCGCGGCCGGAGTCAGTATTTACTAGGCTGACCGGGTGACGCCGCGTCCATTGCGAAGATGCCGACGTTTCGGTCGCCATTCTGCGACCTTCCTCCCTGGCATTAGGCCCTGAGGAAGGTCGCAGAATGGCGACCGAAACGTCGGCACCTTCGCCATGGACGCGGCGTCACCCGGACAGCCTAGTAAATAAAGCGCACTTGTTTAGAATATGTGACAAATAAGAATTGTGTGTTGTGTAATGGCGGAACAGTTACGGATATGGAGGTTTGAAATGACTTGCCAGTGGTTGTTGTGAAATTGAATGAATGATTGCACGTATGTGAAGTGTACCAGTGAATTGATTGCATTACCCTCAATCACACTCTTACACTTATATGTACCATACTACCGAAGCGTCTCTATCTCACAGAACCGTTTGATAACTCTCCAATCATGAATTGTAATAAGAGGTCTTACACTATTTACAATACTTATTTCGTAAATAACTACTAGCACGGGTCAATCCATTTTAAGAGGTCCAGAATTTAATAAATTGGTCGTTCGACCACCTCGAAAAAATCCATATTTTGCACGTAAATTTACTTAATTTTTGGCTGTTCAAAAACATCTTTATTTTATAGTATTTGGTTCACAAATGAACAAGAAATTCTGCCATTTTTGTTTTGCACCGTGCACCATTTTTCGCGTTTTAGACATTCACTCTTTTCTAAATTACTCAGCTCTGAGTTGTGCTAGCATTCTCAAATAAAACACACCGGATTCAGTATACTCTGGTCTTCAAGTTAAAATATGATTTATATGCCTTCTATGTTTTTATTTGGTAAATATTTGCGACCAAATCTATGGTCGGGAATGAAGGAAATTCGATTTTCATAGATAATTTTCTGAAAGAAACAATTTACAGCCTTAATTTTTTTGTGCTTTTACTCATCACAGTGTAGTTACATTTTGTAAAATATCATTGTTAAATAAAGTACCGTTTGAAAATGACTTCCTCTTAAAATTTGATGTTTTTCCAAAATTTTCAACTGTAATATCTCTGTTGGGGAATCAGATAAAAATCTGAAAGTTGTGCAATTGCTAGATCGCTGTGATACCCAACTTAAGTAAAGATTTCAACTTTTAGATTTAATTCTAAGTATTTTTTTAAAAACTTGTAAACTTAGGCATAAAAGGCTTCATGTACATATTGACGATGCGTGGTGTCAAGTAGTAATCATATTATTTTAAAGCTATTTTTAACTAAAAAGTACATTGATTTAAAAGTATTAATTATACGTTATTATTAATATGCATAAAGTACCCTAATATATAATGTTCAATATTACGTTCACTTTACTTTAAAACAAACTTACGACTTGACATTTACGTTTGTAATTGAAAATATGGTCATCTTTATTTTAAAAGCTGAACCGATTAATACGAAAATTGTTTATATAATCTAGCAAATAAATAAATTGAGTGTTTTCATTATTTTGTCTCAGCTATTTTTATTTTGCCTCGTGTGCGATTTAAATCAAACCACTCTTTAAACACTCCCATTATTAATAAGAACAAAATGTGAAAATTTCAGCGAAATCGGTCGAGTAATTTTTGCTCGTTTTGCGAGTTTAATATTGTTTGTAATTAATGGAATCTTTATTCAACCTCCCAATTCCCGATTCATATTCGTCTATAGACCCACAGTCCACCCCTTTTTTTCCATAATTGACCCCTCTGGTTGAGCTCCCTAGAACTCAATCATCAAGATTCGGTATGGACTCGTCAAAACCTTGGCTTCACACGGAACGGCAAAATTATCAGGGCTGCCTACCATTGCTACTGAATGAATTCAGTTCTCGCGGTTCCGATCTTCCTTACCCTTTTTATTTGCTACTTTATACCATGTAAAGAAACTATAAGAATACTGGAAAAATACGCGATAATGTAAATCGCAGTGGATGACATAAAATAAATGTAACTGAGAATCCAAGGAATGATTCCAATTATACAGACGAAGATGACAATTAATTACATACACTAATAACAAATCTCATTAATAACCAGTTTTACCACTCATTAATTATTTTCAACTGTGATTGCTATTAATTACTTGATGATTCGTTGTCATTTACTGTCTATAATATCCTGTAATATTAAGAGCGAAAGGGGCTCTAACAGTGTTAATAATGCAACAGTCGGCAACACACGTCTGATGTGACGTGGGAAGTAGCCTCCCCTCCCCTCCCCTCCCCTCCCCCCCTCCCCCCATGACAAGAAGAGTCGCGCGTCTATTATCCATTCACACTAAGAAACATCCTGATTTAAATGAATGCACGTGTGTTAGGATGAATCACATTGGTTTGCAGTGTGAGCTTTGCTGTGGTAGGGATCCTGACGGTTAAGTGAATCGTTCTCTTTACAACAACTAATGTATCTTCCATCGTTTTTTATTAACTTTGCGTCAAAATAATTGCAACGGTTTCGAGAGAGAAGACCATTGTGAACTGACTGCGTGTTGCTTTGCGATAAGATTACGAACTTCTGGCAGTGCAGCGCGTTAACGTGCTGATCGACGTGGTTCAGGCGCGTGGGACGCGGTTCGTGGGACTGATCTGCGAGGCTCTGCTATTCAGTGCGTTTTAGAAGGTCTGTTTAGTCCTTCAATAATTAAACGCAAGTGTGGGAAATTTCTTCGGGTGGCGAAAAGCACATCGTACAGAACTTTTTCAATTTGTTATTGCATACGATTCCGTCGTTACCGGTTAAGCAAATCGCAGTGTTTACTGGAATATCCCTATCCAGCGTATATTAACTCCGGAAAGAGCTCACTGACAAGGGACAACTACAAACGCCAGACAAGGAAAGAGAGGAGACGAAACCTGTGGTTGAAGCATACGAAGTCAGTATTGTTCGATCGAAAGTACATTCCTTACTTCAAACGGGCAAAAGTATAGAAACGAAGCACCAACGCTTGTGAATTGTAATCTAGAACTTCAAAATTTTAGGCCAAACAAATTAATACAAATAATTGACATCTGGTTATTCACAACCACTTCTTGAAGCAGACTGATTGTAAGTAAAGTAGTTGCGTGAACATGACACTTGCATGACAGCTCTTAACCCATTTGAATTGTCGGGGTAGCTACTTGCGTCATCGAAAGAAGAACGCTAGGTGTCCAATCAGAAGCGTAGTGCAGTGCAAAGATTTCTTCAGTTTGTTTACATCAGGTTTTTCCTAGTGTGAATGGAAAATAGTACTACTTTTTTATCGACCACGTCGGAAACCCCTGGCTTAGATTATGAAAATAAATTAGGAGGGATTCGGAATGCCCCCTACGTCACGCGCACACACAAACACATTCATGCTTTCGAGTTTCGCACCCACAACCTACATACCTACGTACTTGGGCTCACCTGCTCGGGATCTGCAGCAACTGAAGCACTGGACCTCACTGTAAACATGTTACAGTTGTGCAACGTTAATAAATACATAAAACTAATAACATAAATAAGACTGTACTTTTTATATACAAGCGGCTTTTGATGTTCTTTGTAGCATTGCATTGATGTATTATTTAAGTATGCATTTATGACTTTGACATCAACCATTCCCGTAGCAACATTACCTTAGTATTCGAATATTCAACATCGTGCCCATTAATGAACTTTTTCTTCAAAATTAACACTTCACAAAATATAATGTAATACAACAAATTTACAGTACGGATCAGATCACGAAATGTTTAATTTAGTTCTTATTCATTTCTTTTGTTGATCCAGGACTTAGTGTTCAATAAAACAAACCCGTACAGGTTTTCCTTTTTCAAAATTTTTCTTTACTCTCAACAGCAACGTTGAAAAATAATCAAGATTATCATAGAAGAGTACATCTAGGTTAGCAATTTTCATGGAAAAATGTTGTCATTTAAAAAAAATTATTTAGGTTTCTCTGAATATTCGGAATTTTAAGTTCTTTTTCACACAAATCTTCTGTGTTTTGAGAAATGCCATAATAAATAATTTGAAGCACTTGCCTCCACAAATACAATAAATTGTTAAAATGATAAAATATCTTACAGATCAAAGATTAATAATAAGAGATGACATTTGTGTAATTTTTGAAAAATCAAAAGGTTACATCAAAATGCTGTTGATGCAACGCTATTTAGTCAATTTATCTCTGTCTGAACACAGAGTTTAAAAAATCTAATGATGTTTTTGGGAAAATATTTATATCTAATGATGGGAAAATATCATTATATCTAATGATGTTTTTAAAACGGCCCATATTTCATTTCAAATTACTCAAAAACGGCTAATATTTTGAATATTTACATACTGAAATTTGTTACATATTGAAATCGTCGTTCAAACTTTTGCAGTATTCGAAAATTCCTGAATTAACAGTAAATATTGGACCTCTGCACTTTGTGTAAGTGATTTTTTTCTATTCTCTCCAGATAAACTTTTTAAGTCATTGAGAAAATGTTGAAAAAGTTCCGGAAGCTTCGTGTAAAGTATCTCCACAATTTCAAGATTATTTTCAAAATCGCATGGCTTGGAGTCCGATCAGATCAATTTAGGAATATTCATTTTGAAAAAAATTCTACAAATAGTTTAAGCCCTAGTTTTTTTTCATTGATAGGCGAACAGACTTTAGAAACAAACACTTTTTTCATACCAGGCCACCTCACAACTTGTATTTCCGTTATAATTTTTAAATCAACTATCCATAGCATCAGATGATTAATATTACTCCGTATATACAAATGTAAACAAGAAAAGAACTAATAGGGTTACAACAGATCCCTATTATTTTCGCATTATTTGTAAGGTTTACAATTCCCAAAAAAAGAGAGTTCAACGATAATGCGATCTGTGCAGTTTTTATAAGCGCCGTTGACTGTATCCGAGAAAAACATTTAATAAAAAATTGGATTAATTTTTTTATGTTAAGGCTGCATATAATGTACCCCTAAAATGAAAATATCCGTTTCAAATTTGCAAAGAATTGAGATCGGCCAGATCAATCGGGAAATATCAATTTTAAAGAAAATTGTCTAAACAATTTAGGCATCAGCATTGACAACAGACACACACACACACGCTCAGACAGAGACGCTGACAACCACTGCAGAATGTCATGAGCAAACAGACACGTTCACAACTGCATAATGTCATAAACAAACAGACACGTTCACAGGTAACACAGACACAGTTACAGAAAAAGACACATAGACAGATACTTACACAGTCAGGTAAAAAACAGAAGCAGAACAATACAAACAGATGATAGACACCGACAGAAATAGAAAGACAACAACAGACATAGCCAGACTCTGACAGATATACAGGCAATAGTGACTGAACATTAAATAATTCGTGTTTACATAAAATTGTCTTAAGTTATGTAGGATACAGTACCAAAAACATTAAAAATATTATCTTAAATGATGTTGATGTATTATCATGTTAAATGTTTTAAATTTGTTAATCATTATTGATGTAAAAGAAAGCTGCACTTGCATTTGAAAGCATGTAGTGTTACATATAACCGAGCATGCTGTGAAATAAAGCTTATTTATTTTAAAAAGTCATTAGTCACTTTCACAAACAATTACAGACCAAGACAGATTTAGAGACACACACACATAGATAGACACAGTCACACGGAGACATAGTCTGATACAATCTGAAAGAAAGCCAGACATAAATAGGCAAAGGGAGACTTGTCCAAAAATCATGTACACAAAAATACGAACATATGTATTCGGAGGCAGAAACAGTCACCCTCACTAATTGCCACAGATAGTAGTCGCTCATGGACACAGACTGGTACTGAGAGACACAGGGAGAAAGACACAGTGATAAACACAGATTAAAAATGTCCGTTGATTTTTTTACGAAAAATCGCCTTTTCCCGCCATATTTCACTACATTCCGTTTATCCCATTTCTTCACTAATTTCTTTACCCCCTATACCCAAGTCCTTTTCTCTCTTGAACAAAAACGTTTTACTGTTTTTACACCTCATTGCAAATATTGACACCGATAAAAACTTACGTCTTGAATGTTCACAAACACATAACCCTATAATTACTAAACATCTACAAATTTCATTCAATTTCTCTTTACAAAGTATTCATATCTCTCGTGGGCTAGAATAGCTACAACTGAACATATTTTTTAAATTTTGAGTTAATGCACTCTCCAAAATTGCAGATTGGTCTACCTTCCAGCTGCATCAGCAGCACCTCGTACAGTACAGTATTCCACCAACATATATCAGAAATGTGAATGCAAGAATGATGCATTTCAATACAAGGTGAAACTTGAAACCGATTTACCTCCATACCTGAGTTTTTGAGTTCTGCCACTTTTGCAAACGACGAACGGTATAATTTACTTGTTAAAAATATTAAGTATAACAATTATTTCTAAAAACTAAATAGTGCAATTCCAATTGTAAGTAAAAGGTTTGTATAATAGTTATTTGAAACTGTGGTTATCAAGTTGTTGCAAAGCGATTTAAAATATAAAAAAATGATTAAAAACTTACTTCAAAGGCTTTATGCTGGCAGATCCAACCTCAACTCGTGCCACTCCTTTGATGGATGCCTAGTCCACTGTTTACAGATTAAGTCTCGCCACCTGCCACGTACAGTGAATCCTAGAGTAAACAGGTGACTGTACTCTGTGCTGAGAAAGTGATTCTAGGTTCGCGCGTCCGCCATATTGACGAACGTCTACTCCGTGATCAAAACAATTTCGATTCTTTTAAGAACCAAATAGCGGGAACTGACATTCAAACTCGAAATATTTATTCTGTTTCGTGTTTACGGAAGCTGCATAAAAACATGAAAGTATCCAGGTCTTAATAGATTGAAATCACAATTGACACAGAAGCCTTTAAGAAAATCCCTTCTTTTATTGTTGGAGACTGTTTTGTATTTGGTTTAAACATGAAGACAGCTGATGCTACGCATTTTAGTTCGTAAAGACGATTTTGAGCCTCAGAAACAACGCACTAGATCGTAGGAAAGTCTGAAGTTAGACATTCGCCCCTGACAGCCTAACGAAATAGGAACGCCACGATTTTCAGTTTTCCAAAGGGTTCAGACGTAAAGTAGAGATAACGAGAGTTACCATCAGTGTTGATTCATGAGGTTTCAGTTTCTCCTGTCCAGTATCCCTGCAAAGGCTAGAAATTATTGAGTACTCTGATACAATTTCTTGCAGCTGATTAGGCTCATGCGGTTTGGTAAAGGACTTGTCTGAAATAAACTGCCTTATAACTAGGGAACGGCTTTTCATGAAAATACATATTTTTACAGAAACGAGATATCCACATTCAATAAATTGTTTTAGTGTTGAGAAGACATTCTGAATGAGTTATGAGCATTTTTATTTTACATATTTTGGTATTATTTCATATTTTCGCATACTTTATCTAAAACTCCATATTTCTTACAAATTTTGTTATATTTTGATACATTTAAACGGAAAATTTTAGGTATCCCTTTGAAATATGGGTTACTAGAATAATCTTTCTTAAAGAGTAATGCAATGTTATCACGCTTCTATGACCTGCAGACTTTCGCCATGAATTGTCAAAATGAACCCCCCTCCTTGCTTCTTGGAATCAAGGATGAGCGGGGTTTCGTGAGGCAGAAGTAATGTCCACCACCTGCTTACTCTTGTTTCACAGAGACAATATGTGGCCAGGTTGAAATCCATGTTATTCAGGTCATTATCTTATCGCGTTATGGAAATTGGAAGGGGAGTCTATTTAACCGTCCTCCACCTCCCAGGTCTATCACTCGCTCCTAGGTTCTGCTATTCACTTGAGCACCGGGTACTCGTAAACATTGTACATACAAGGATCGATCTTTATATTTCGGATAAAACTCTTATGAGTGTCGAAAACTACTGTGGAATTACTTCTGTATAGATTGAACTTTCTTTTAGCCACTCCGAATCCATGTTAAAATCCGATCGAGGACGTTCATTACTTGAAAAATACGTATATACAGCAACTTACAATTCAATAATTCATTTTATTTTACATATTTTCTATTTATTACATATATGGAAAAAAATCATATGTATGTACATATTTTGCTTTTTTATTACAATAAATTCCGTTCCCCACTTATAAATAATTTACAGTGGGCTATTTGAGCCTTCTTTATTTAATACAAGACGTGAGAATGTTTTTAGAAGTTCTTAATACCGTTCTTGATTTGTCTTCTTTTGCGTTGCATGCACACTCAAATTCACTCATAAAGCTACATAGTTGGATAAAAAGGAATGAGAATATTGCTGTAACTTAAAGCCGGTAAGTCGGCTTGCTGTCATCTATCGTGACAAAAGAAAGGACTATTAGACCAGTGTGTGGGCAGAGCTGGAAAAGAATTCTGTCTACTGTGGTGTGTACATCTTTGAACTTCATAGCAATAGTGCAAGTGCCCTAAGGCCATGATTACAAAGGTGGAGCAACGTTTGCGGCTCAAAATTGAAGTGGCACGAAGTTAAATGTAAGCAAGAATGTTTCCAGGAACTGCGAGAAGCATGTGGTGATTCAGATTTGTTATACTCCAGAGTCGCACAATGGGTTAAAGCGTTCAGATTAGGCAGAGATGATGTGCTGGATAACCACTGTTCAGAATGACCTCACATGGAGAACTCTTGGGTCGTTGGCAATGGAAGATTCTGGAACATTCGCCTTTCTCGCCTGATATGAGCCCCTGTGATTAAGCAAAATGAAAAAAATCACTACAAAGAACCCGGTACAATACCAGATTATTATTACCAATTATTCATCATTTAGGGCGGTGAATATGGAACATCAAGAGAAATAGACACGTAGATAGTGTATGATGCCTTCTTAACATTTGGCTAAAGGTTATTAATAACGGAGGCGATTATATTGAATATAAATACTTCTGCCAATAAAGTCATTACAGAGGAAAAAGCACATTTCTCATTACTTTTTATCTAACCCTTCTACACACAGTGAATTTAAAAAGTTCCAGGACTGCCGCTCGTACAACAACGTGGCGCTAACACCGCACAGCAAAAGGAATCACGTAACACATTCCTGCTCTCACGGCCACCTGAAGTTTCATTCATTTCTGACCAGCTTCAACTTATCAACGTTCAGTTGCGTGAAGGTTAAGTGTCTGCTGATGTCATAATGAAGTAATGGAACAATGAATAAACAGCGAATTTCTGCCTGCAGATATTTGGTTGCCATGGTCTAAAAGATCAAAATTTTTTTGCAAAACATTCTTACCGGAGATGAAACTTGGCGCCTACAGTATGGTCCGGAAACAAGACGTCAAAGTGCAGAGGGGACAAGCTCAAAAAAGATATGACCTATGAAAGTAAGAGCCTCCAAATCGAAGACAATGTTGATCACCTTTTTCAATAACTGGTGCATCATCACCGAGAATTCCTTCGACAAAGGTCCCCTGTGGCATTCTACAAAGGCATTTTGAATCGGTTTCTGCCAAGAATGCGTCCTGTGAGGCCCGATTTGCTATACAGAGGCAATTGCTCTCTCTTGCACGACAACGCACCTTCTCACACGTCCATCATTACGCAGCAATTTTTAGCAAGAAGGCTGATAGTATCAAACACCCTCCATATTCTCCAGATTTATCCCCTCCCGACTATTATTTGTTCACAAATAAATTGAAGATGCAGGGTAACGGTACGAGTCAGTAGCAGCGATAGAAGCAGAACTAAATAGCATTGAAAGAGGGGCATTTCAGAAGTCATTTGAGAGCAAGCATAGAATAGAATTACAGGAATAGTATGTAGTAGCTTGATAACACATATAGTTATATCCTCTGTGTTATATTGTCTGTATACAAAGAGTCCTGGAACTTTTTGATGTATTCCAAACACATGCACTCACATTCACACTTCAACACTTACCCCACGTACAATCGTCTTTTTCTCCACGCTCACGTCTCCAATCACGTGAGCAGGCGCCGCGACGCCAGGCGAAGTGCGTCTCCGCGCCTCCCGCGCGGATTTCGGCTGCCCTCATTGATTGATTGATTGATTGATTGATTGTTTAGTGGTTCCACGCGGGTAAAACTAATAACATTAATCCCGGAAATGTATAGAACGATTTATTTAGTCGTGCACTTGTCGTAAATCAGCTGTTGCGGTTTCATCCAATCGGGAGTTTATAGATAGATAGATTTATTATTTCTGCAGGTAGGTATAGAACCTGGTGGCAGAACACTACAATTTACATATTACAACTAAGAATACTAATACACTGTAGTTTTAAAGCATTTAAGGCAATAATAAGAATAATATAACAATAACAGCATTACCTATAAACTTTATGACTGTCCTTCCCGGAAGTTTTAAGTAATAAGTACACTGCACTTATATATCACTATGGGGACGTTCAAGATCCCGATTGGATGAAACCGTGAACAGCTGTGTTACTGTTGAATAAATCCTCGTATTGTGTTATCCTCGATGTTATTGTCATTTAACTATTCCCCTCAAACCGTGCAGTATGAACAGGTGCTCGATTGTGTAGAAAGATGCAATCGCCATCCTCGAATTGCTCTTCAACAGTGGGAAGCAAGAAGGTGTTTAAAACATCAACCTAGGCCTTTGCCGGGATAGTGCCACACACAACAACAAGGGGTGCAAGCCCCCTCCATGAAAAACACCACCACACCATTTTGGACGTGTCCCGATACTTTTGATATATATAGTATATATAGCACATACATAGAGTATGTGCTAGTGTAGTGCATGTAAATGCGTGTAAGTAAAGAATGATAGAACAAGGAAGAGGAAGGAAAGATCGCGCGCGGTTTGTGGGTCGTTTGTTAGGATTCTGTTGAGGCATTCGCCCGACGTTGATCCAATAAATCAAGGCAAACTACTGATCAGGGCAGCCAGCCGCTAGAATTCTCCTACACACGACTGAATTCGAATTTCCTGTCACCGCCCGGGCTCGACCCCAAGGACCTCCCGGTCAGAGACACAAAACTGTCATCAATTGATGCCCTGAGCCACCTATGCCGGTGGCTGCCCTCATGGCATCAGCTCACCACTCTAATTGAGTCGTGACAGAACACATCCTGAGCCAATCGATAACGTTCAGTATGCTGGGCGGAACTTTTGAAAAGGTCCTCCTTTTGTCGCAAAATTAAAATAAATTTTAGGGCACTGTATGAAACTCAGCACTCATGACCTAGAATAAAAATGAAATACAAAAGAATGTGACTTTTCTTTATTATAATTAAAATATAGATAAAAATATTAACTCATTTTCGTTGAATAGAAAAAAAAACAATAAAAAACTCTCAAAATTAAAATATGAGTCTCATTTAGTTTTAATAAGAATATAATGAAATAGCACATTCAAAATTATTTTGAGTTACCTGAAATAGGAACTGTAGTGTTCTCTGCCTTTTCTCTCCCCTTTTCGTTCTTAATTAATTATTTTTATTAATTTATTTACGTATTAATTTATTTAATTTACTTATTAATTTATTTACTTATTTATTTCTTTATTTCATTATTTATTACACTTCTTTTTACTTTTTACTTCGCCACTCCTAACCAGTAACGAGAATAAACAAGAGGAGTCAGAGCAGGGCACTAATAAAATGTATTTCGCATGTGACAGTCACTACCCTGAAGAAGCCTGCAATATGACAGGCGAAACGTCCGCCTCTTTGCCAACGACGCGGCGTCATCCGGACAGCCTAGAAGTCATGAACTCGGACGCGGAAGCCTACGTGTACAATTCACATGGATGCCATTTTTTTATTTTAAGGCAACGACCTTGTATTTGTAAATGAAATTTTAACTTTTTCACATTAATAGTTTAAAATATTTTTAATATAATTAATACAAGGTATAGATTCCAAAAGAGTTAAACATGATAAATAAATAAAGATATTGTCTGTTATCAATATCTTTATTTATTTATCATAATAAAAAGGTATCTACCTCACCAACAATCCAATTAAAGAGTTAAACATGTTTATGTGGTGGACGTACAGCACACCCAGAGACACTAAACCACATTCACATATATAAACGCCAAATTCGTGCAGAGACACTAAGCATGAAATTCACAAGGAAAACGTTAGTTTCGTCCAGACGAAGGTTAGACTTATTTGAAAGACACAAAATTGTTTCTTTTAAAATTATTGATACAATATTGAAACCATTGATACAGTAATGGAATAAAGGTTCCTAGATTTTGAAAGCATTCGTTTTATTGAATTTTTTTGACAAAAAGCAGTTTTCCATCCACAATGCGTCCTTTCTTTCACAAAAGTTTTCTTTCCTAATAAAACAATATCCATCCTTGACAGAGAGCAGATTCGAAAGGAACTGACAAATGTATACATTAATAATACATGCCTGCAGATTTGATGATGAAGTTTTTGTTGGGCAAATTGATCTAGATAAAAATATCAAGAGACGGATCGGTCGATACAATTCTGTCTAACTTTCCCCGTATCTACAGCATTATGTGAGAGGAACATGATTACATTAAAGAGAGTAAATTCATTCCTGAGAAATAACAAGATCGGTAATTTCAGAACATTGTTATTGAGTATGCCAAGTTAAATGTGCAGAAACGACGGTTTTCAGAACAAACTATCAACTGTTTTACTGAACGAAAAAATCGGTGAATGGAGCTAATTAAAAAAAAGGTAGATAAAATGTTCATAATACCAACCGCATGACTCTAGCTTCGTCACTGGTTTCAACAAGAACTAATTTATCAATCCAACTTAATAATTAAGACTGTTTTCCAATGTAGTTTGAATTGCTTAAATTCTCATTGTCTATAAAAAACGAATGAATGACTCAATACATAATTTGCGACTGTGGACGTAACGTATATTGGAAGTGTGATGAACGCATAATCTGTTACTCGAAGACTCATACGTTGAATGATGCACTGCCCTATTGTCGAGAGAAAGAGAGAATTCTTGAACGTTGCCAAGAAACGCGGACGTGCACGTGACTGACGTAAACGAACTATGTCAAACAATTCTGAACGTGGCCAGGATAGGAAGGAGGATGATGAAACGGCCATGGTAGAGGAAGCCCAGAATAAAGTGAGGAAATGCGACTGCGATCAGCCCCCCTGCATAAAGTACGTATTTCATTATATTTGTATTTTCTCTGTGGCGCACTATGAGTCACGACAGCAGCTGACGATAGGACTGTCATGATGGGCCTTCGGGTTAAGTACGACCTTAGAGCGCCTTTGTGTGCCATTGCATAAGTGCCTGTTTCAAAAACGAATTTTTTTTTATTTCCGCGCATCTACTTCCTACTAAATTGTGTAAAACCGTTTTATATTTTCATTTGCTTCCGCTGACACTCCTTAACCAAAAGAAACCTTTTTTTAATTTAGACTGACTTCTATCTATCAAAGTGGATAAAAGGTTTTCAATTAATTTCTTAGCCAAACCGGACAACACATTATTTAGATTTTGTTTTTGTTTTTAAATTTCTGTTCCCCTTCCTTGACTAATGAGGATAATTTATTTCAGTTTCTGCTGACTTTTTTCTTTAACAAAGTGGTTAGAAGCTTTTTGCTTCAACGTGCATCTGCTGGCAGGCCGGCGCCGCCGCCGTCGGAACCGCCGCCCCCGCCGCCGCCTGACGAGGAGATCCAGCAGCTGCACTTCGAGGCCATCACACGCGACTACATCGCCCGGCCGAGGATCGCCTACCGCACGGTGCGGCCCC